TTAATCCCGGAATTCCTTGCTGCCGATCCGTCGCTGACAATACATACCTGTGCAGAGGAATGCTTACATGCTTAGAAACGATGAACAACGCGGAGACGTTCCATCCTCCTGACAAGAACATCGTGAAGTGCGAGTCCTGCAGCTGGGTCATCTGGTATGACGTACGCCTGAGATCATTGCTATTACGGGTTCTCCGCAGCATCTTTGGAAACTCCATCCGCAGCGTCTAACCAACAGACGTGGACGCGGCCTTCAAGGCTTCGCGAAGTGAAATATAGGTATGCTCTAGTTTGTCATCTGTGCGCAATGGTCGTGGAGAGCGTGCTAGAAGATTTTCATTCATATCTTTCCTGAGACATAACGCCAGTCCGGTATTTTGCCTGCAAGACCCACCGCGATTGCTGACCGTCACGGTCGTTGCATTCATGAAGTCCTCCATTTCAATATACATGCGGTAGGCCGTCATTGCACGTAATCTCCTCTCTGGCTCTTGCGACCCTTTCTTAAGCTACTTTTGCGTAACTTCTTACTCGACCTCAGTCTTGGACTCGAAGTTGTCGCCAGCGACGAGGTCGGGGATGTCATCATCGTCCTCTTCGTCGTCGTCCTCCTTCTTGTCACCGTCCTCGCCCTTCTCCTTCTGCATGCTCTGGTAGGATTCGGCGAGTTTGCGTAGCGATGCGAGCGAGTCGGGGCCGAGCTGGTTGAGGATGCCGGGGACGAGCTCTGTCAGCTCCTTGTCCTCACCGTGTCCGTAGATGGCGAAAGTGTTGGCAGGTACCGATGCGTGGACTGAACGATGCGTGAGTCAGTATGTACTCCGACAAAAAGGCAGGGTGGCATAATTGTGGATCATGAAGTGCCATGTCTGATGTACCAAGGCACTTCCCTATCCACATGTCACAACGCTTGGGATGACGTACCCTTTGGTGCTGAGAAGTGGATGACGTTTCCGTCGCTCTTGAACATGTTGACCTCCTCAATGGCCTGGATGGGCTGGACGTTGAGCTTCTTCAGCGCGGTCTGGAGCTTCTTGTCGTCGGTGCCAGCGGCCCTGTGGACCTTCTTGACCTTCCTGCGGGGAGTACCCTTGCCGCTGTATATCGAGTTAGCCTCGAATTCCTTATAGCCATCTCGTTCCTGAGTGTCGCTCGCTATCAATGGGCGGTCGTGGTGGGATTTCGCGGGTTCGTGATATTTTGTGGTGCGGGGCTGTCAAAATACAGCAGGAGAGGCTTGCTTACCCTGTACACACACAAATTAGCAACTACTTCCTCGAATGACATAGCTGACTGCTCTATAAAGCAATTGCAGCTCAGAATTGGAGTACGTACCAATGCGCACCGACGCTTGCATGCGCGCCAACTTTGCTTGATCCATAATTGCGGTGTTGAGGAAGGATGACTAGGTGGGGAGAGCTGTGGGCGTGGAGTGTCAGCGGTCGGGTCCGGGTTCTTCGCAGATTGGAGTGAGGGCTTGGGCTCAGAGCGAGCGCGGGTCCGGTACGCACCTAAATTCGGGATCGTGGCCGAGACTTGGAGTGTGGTGTTGCTGGTGAAGTTGTTGCGGCCATCGGCGAAACTCGTCGGAAGCGCCGATTGTGTGCATGTCCTCGCTTGTGGAAGCTTCAGATCCCCGCAACGTCAGAGGGGTCATACGCGCCAATACTTGTACCCAGCCTACCTATTGCACAACCATTTCATCCACCTCGAGACACTCAATATGACGCGTTGGTCATTGTTTCAATTGGACTCACATGCAGATGCAGATGCACAGACGGAGCCGCGGTGCACACCAAGGCCAACATGCGGAATGGCGGTCCATCGACTTTACACCAAAGAAAAATGCTTCACGTCCCGCTGAGCTTGATCGCGAATAGTGGTATTAATGCTCTACTTCAAAATGCCCACATCTACTTAGAGTAGTGCAATTCCAGCCACACCAACAGCACCCAATGCCCACGAGAAAGCCTTCGCTTGCACTGCTGCACCTGTCGGCGTCGCTGATGCAGCACTTCCGCTGGCGGCCGAGCTTGGGCTTGTCTCTGTCTCCGTTCCGTTGGGGTTTCCTGGAATGTCTTCCTGAGTAACCTTCATGCCTGTCTGGTTCTTGCAGTTGTCGGCGAAGTTGATCTGGGCGTTGTTGACCAGGGTCACGTCCGCACACTATGTGGCCGTTAGCGACTTTCTTGCGATGATAGACCATTTCATGTCAGAGGCTTACCTGGTATAATCCTCCTGCCTCGTGGTTGTTGGTAACAACTTGTATCGAAGCCTTGGTACCATCCGTCACATTCAATCCTTCCGGTAGGGAGACGTGACCGAAGCAGAAGTCTCCTAGACCTGATACTTGGGTCTGCTGTTGCGCGACGATGCTGAATCCTTCTCCTGGGTTATCTCCAATGGCCATGTATACAGCAACATTGGTCTGCGGGTGCTCCATGTGCAGTTGTATCGGCCCTCCGCTGATTGGGAAATCGGTGCGCTCTTGTTGGACATCGTTGTAGCCTCCACAAGGGAAGTTGCCTTCAGTGTCATCGGTGAATCCACGCGCTTCAGGAAAATTGAGCTGGAAATGAGCGAATGTAAGAGGAAGGAACGCGAGAGCGAGGGCGCTGTTGGAAAGCATATTGACGGTTGAGAGGTAATTGTAGGTCTTGATGTCGTTTAGGGAAGAGAAGGAACAGCGCTTTCAACTTGATGCAGAGGAATGCGAGAAGGTTAAGAGGATAACAACAAACAATAAAGAAACGCCGGGATCGCCTGCCGTATTTATTGCAGCTTACTCTGGGACGCACTCCATCCCATGCCGTGCATTCCGTTCCAGTAAATCGCGTGGCTCGCCCGTGAGCACTGGAAGCGACCTGCATTGATCCCGCGTTTCGAATAGGTCGACGATCTAAGCAGATAGCAGTAAGTGAGCAGTATCCTGCATCAGCGGCGACTGTCGCTAATGTGCAAGCCGTTAGGGTATGGTATCGTGTGGCGCGCAGGATGCCGACAATTGAGCAAGTTTATTACCAAAGCGGTGGTTCCTCACCGCGGAAGCGACTAGCGTCCAACAAGGTTACATTTCACCGATAGCATTTCCGGTGACGCGCCGAGGCCTAGATTATGGTTCTACTGTATAGCCGGCAATGGAGATCAAAATTATGGGAATACCGCGTCCATGAATCGCATTTGTGTTGCTGGAAATAAGCTTTGTGCACCCCACGGGGTTCTGCGAGGAAGCTCCTAGCGACTGAATGAACACGAAGTGTTGAGGAACCTTCTTTAAAATATATGTCTGGGGTATCACGATGAATATTACGCTCTAGAAAAGCTTTGTTTGAATATGAATAACAGAATGCAAGTCGAAGACTTAGTGCGCCTCAACCTGATTGAACCTGCCAAACGCCAGCTCACCAACGAATGCACCTGCTAGCACAGACAAAAAGTACCCAACATTGTAAGTCATGACTGCCAACATGCTGCCCAAAAGTTAGCTTTGACGCAATGACTGGAGTGTGTAGTGCTTACAGGAGATATCCGACGCCGGCCACAACTGTCATCAACAGTGCCCGGGGCAGGTCGATGCTGAATCTCCATGGCTGAATGTGAGAGACCGGCGCCGAAATGATGCGCACATCCTCCTGGACACCGTTTGTTGTGAGGACACCGGTCATCGAGTTGGCGTCATCTGCAGCGCTATCGACAACGGCTTTCTCGCCGGCAACGACGATATAGCGTCGCTTCAGCGCGCTCTTGACTGCCTTGATCTCGAGGTATGTTTTCGCGGTGAAGAGGGCGCGAAGGATTATGGACAGGAGAATAAGGAAGATGCATGTCCCTGCGTATTGACCAGCGGTCGTCGGGGTCCAAGCCTCGGAGTATAAAGGAGTGGTCGTTGACGTGACGAACGCCATTGCCATACCGCCATGTGAGGAAGTACCCATAGACATGCCGCCCATATCCATCGAATCCATAGCCATATCGTGACCCTCGTGAGCAACCATGGTGATGGGATTGACGTGCGTGTAGCGATAAGAAGGTTCCGTTGATGAGGCTCAGGATGGGTTCCGTTTAGGTCGCGCGGGGTGATAAGGGATCGAAGAATAGGTACCGAGTTCCAGACTGCTATCTTAGTCCTGGGGCAGGCGATCGCTTAAGAGTTCTTGGTACGCTGTGGGCTTGCGCGTTCGCTGGTTCCAGTTCCGTAAAGATGAAGGCGCCTCAGCATGAACGCACGACCTGGAGGCGCTGGTTTCGTGTTGCAGTGTATACAACTGTGATGAATGCGTAAGATTCTGCGACACTCAAGAAGTCTGGGCTGAGGCGTGGAGCGTCGGGGCATGTGAGCACATTTCTCGGCAACGCCTTCCCGCCTACATGTATGACAGGCAAATCTCGCAGCTACGGAAAGATCCCTTCCATGCGCGTTGTATGGGTCATGGCACGCTGTCGGTGGCTCGGGCGTGTGAGCGACGTTCAAGCAGCCGGACTCCCAAGGAGCGACTTTGAGCATAATTAGCCGGTTATGGTTAGCGCATGAAGCTTATTTCAAGCCACGGCCAACAGAGTGCCCGCTGGGCCTCGATGCACCCCCGCAGTGCATCGACCCTGCCGCCCTGCATCTGAGAGGCAATTGATTACAGTCGGCACTACGGCCACATGGACTATTACCGGCACCATGGCTGAAGACGGTGCGTGTGTGCGTCTTTCGCTGGACGACTATCACATCTTGTCAACCTCCTATGACATTGTCACACACTGTCTATTTCCCAACGTCCTAGAGTGCGTCTCCATACCGATCTCTCGACGTAGCGACGAAACAACTACCCTGGTTACATCTCAGACTGCTCGCGACGAAGTCAGCATGCGATAAACATCGGTACAGGCACACGCCATCCATCACTGGCAACCGCCCAACCTTGCATTCAGTGCAAGCCTGGAAACAAAAACCAAACAAGAGGCGGCAACACTGCAGCAGCGCGTAGCATCATGAGCCACAATCACATGTCGATGGGCTCGATGGGCGCCTTGCCCCCGCTCACAGAATGGCCGGACTTCTACTACGCAGTGATTGGGGCCGCAGTCGGTGTCGCAACACTGTTCAACGTGTACAACTATGTGCTATATCGCCAAAGAATGCTCGCAGCAAGAGGGGGATCGCGGACGCCTGCAAAGCCTATCTCATGGCTCGCCCTCGGGAATGCGACACTCTACGCCCTGACGCGCGAAGCGTCCAATTTCTCATTACGCATACCACTGAAAGGTCGCATACTCAGACTACCAACAGTCGGCCGATCGTCGCTGGTTGTCGGGAACGTGGTCGTTCTGGTCGTTCTATGTTTATACGGCTTCGATGTGACGGACATGTTCAGCATGGAGAATATTGGCTTTCGTTGCGGTGTGGTCACGATAGCCCAACTACCGATTATCGTCCTGCTAGCGGGCAAGAATAACATCATCGGATGTCTCAGCGGTGTGAGCTACGAGCGTTTAAATTGGCTACATCGATGGTGCGCTCGATGCATGCTGCTTACGGCCACCATGCACTTGGGGTATTTCCTCAGTGCATGGGCTCCGTACGACTATATCGGCTACCAACTCAAGAATAACGCAATCGTTTGGAAAGGCCTTGCTGCATGGTGTACCTTGGCGTGGATTGTGTTCAGTTCCATGACACCGATCCGAGGCTGGAACTACGAGATCTTCGTTATTCAACATATCGTTTCGTTTGCAGTTTTCCTTGCGTTCGTCTACATTCATACCCCTCTCGAGATGAACGGCTACGTCTGGGCTCCTGTTGCCATTTTCCTGTTCGACCGCCTCTTCCGAGCATTGCGACTGCTATACATCAACAGCTCCGTATTTCATCCTTCGTTAAAGAAGCGGGGCCAACTGAATGGCCTCTGGGCGTGCAAAGCCGAATTCACACCTCTCCCCCACAACACCACACGAATTAGTATACCTAACCCACCCATCAGCTGGACTCCTGGTCAACATGTATATCTATCATGTCACTCCGTTGTGCCGTTACAAAGCCATCCATTCACCGTGGCTTCGATACCAGCGGATGGGAAAATGGAGTTTTACGTCAAGGCCGAGAAGGGAGGTACCAAGCGCCTCTTCAGACACGCGGAAAAATCTGGCAATTTATCTGGAGTGCCCGTCAAAGCCAGGACTGTGGCCATAGAAGGCCCATACGGCACTCTAAGACCACTGCGCCAATTCGACAGCGTCGTTCTCCTTGCAGGAAGTACCGGCGGGACTTTCACTCTCCCGCTCCTTCGCGATCTCCTCCAGGGTTGGAAGGAGAATGCTTGTGGCAATACAGGTAGCAGTTCAATCTTCAAAATACCAACAGGTGCGGTGACGCGACACATCCGCTTCGTATGGGTCGTCAAGAGCAGAGGGCAGCTAAGCTGGTTTTCCGAGCAGCTTTCCTCCGTATACACCGAGTTCCGAACGCTACAGGAAACACTCCGGGACATCAAACTCGAAATGAGCGTCTACATCACCTGCGACGAGTCTTTCACAGAAGAGCACAACTCCGTGCTTTCCGGCGTGACGGCACCCAACATGAACACAAAATCACAGAGCGAGCCCCAGCACGGCACTGTGCAATACAGATCGCCCTCACAGGCATCAGAAAAGAAGAGCGAGAAGAAATCGCATAGGCAGGGATACCAAGAAGTAACATCTATCGATTCATCAAGTCTCGATATCCAAGAAGCATGTGGTCCGAACGGCACATGCTGTTGCCGCACTGCGGTTGACGAATCGTCTTCAGCTAGTAAAGCGGTGTGCAGCTGTTCGAAACCTCAAGCCACTGCCTTGTCTCGTCCTACATCTCTCGCACCTTCCACACCCTCATCTCTCGAGAAAGGCCAAAGAGTCGTCGTGCATCCGTCGATAGCGATATACTCCGGTCGACCGAAGACGCGGGATATCATACGCAGGTCGTTAGAACAAGCGTTGGGCGAGAGTGCGGTCGTGGTGTGTGGACCGCAGGGGTTGGTGGCAGACGTGAAGCATGATGTTGTCTGGTTGAGCGATGAGCGCGCGGTGCACAAAGGGACGGGAGCGCAGGGCATATACCTACACACAGAAAGCTTTGGATGGTAATCTTCGCTCCAATACATTCTTAATCACACCACGCCATTCATAAGTGCATTTAGTGAAGTATGGTAGTAGTAACATTCGTCGCAATAAATAAGAGTACAGATGCAGCCCGTCTCATGACGGTGCAACGCCTCAAACGCCTATCCAAACCCAACCCACAATATCGCCAAAAAGATGCTAGTATGCGTTCGTGGAAAATGTGCGTAAAACAAAGCGCAGATGCAATGATGATGACAAAGGGAAGAGATGGTAGATGGGACGCGACGCATACGCTCGCTTTCAATCCACAATCCTCAACGCCAGACACCACTCCGTTTGATGAGACAAAGGAAATGGTATTTGCCCGCCCTCCTTTCGTCACGCCAACGCCGTGGAATGTTATGTGTCCAAACACCCCATTGTTTACCCTTCGTCGTGTCGTTGTTGTATATGTCGTAATCGTTCCGGGGCTGTCACACATCGTCCGTCCTACCGGACCATGCGCTTGCTGCGTTGGATAAAAGGAGATGGCATCTCCGGCTCGGTCTCGGGGTCCCATACTGCGGGTGGGCTGATACCGCCAGTTCGCTTGACGGGACTCCTTCGGCCGTTGTATCCGAAGCCCTTCTTCGCGCCTCCCTCGTCTTCACTCATAGTGTGCACAGGGATACCGCGCGCTTGTTGAAGTTCGACTAGTGTGCGGCCCTGGACGCCGCCGTTGTTGCGCATCGCTTGAACGCGGAATGCCTCGTTGCCCTTCTTTGATGGGAGTCCAGCAAATGGAATGGACTTTGTTGTAGCGCCTGTCTTGCGCGGCGATGTTGATGCGGTGTCGGTGGACTTGGACTTCGTTCGAGAAGGCGACGCAGCGACGATGGGTACGGCGGAAACAGGACGGGGCTTTGTAGTTCTGGGACCCAGGAGGTTTGGTGTGCTTCCCAATCGACCGTTGGCCTTCAACAGTGGCGCTTGGGCATTTGCGAGCACCTTGAAGGGGTCCGCACTCATAGGACGACCCCCAGAGGCGCTTCGTGCGCGGGTTGGCGATGGCAGAACAGGAAGATCATCATCGTCGTCGAAGTCGGCGTTCCACTCTGCCTCAGTTGGCGACGGGGGAACGTCAGCTTCCCACTTCTTCGCGCCTTCCTTAGCAGCAGCGAAGATATTTTGCTTAGGTTGCTGGTTGCGACGAGGGGAAAGCGAGAGTCCCTTGAGTGAGATAGGTGCCGGCGACGGCTCAGCCATCTGCACATCCATGGGAGAGTCGGGTACTTGTGTGGTGGAAGGCTGCGAGAACATTGTGCGGGCGCGGACGAGGGGACCGCGGGACGGTCGCTTTGCCTTTGGCTTAGCTGCGATGGTGACATCTTCGGTGTGGTCGTCCAGGGAGAGTGACGATAGGTCTGTTCCGCTGGCGAAGTCGGAGTCTGTGTTGAGGGTGTTTTGCGAGCCGCTCTTAACGGCACCATCGGACTCTGCTGAGAACAAAGCAGACGTTGGTTCTGTTGCCGCCATAGTAGGCGTATTGGACCGAGGAGCCAGCTTTGGCGATGTGCTCAGACGGTTGGGGTACATCTTCAGGGCGCGCTCTACCCGCCTATTCACCTCTCCCTCGAAGGTCGCCTGGAGCTGAGCCAGCTCTTTTTGTACTCGTTGTTCCGTTTGCAGCTTCACTTGTCGCTCAATCTCCAACTGTGCTTTGACTTCCCACTCTCGTCGTAATTGGTCGTCCAACTCTTTGCGTATCCGTGAAATGGCTTCGCTTGCCTCCTTCTCCCGCTTCGCTGTCAGCATACGCTGCTCACGGAGATCTTGCCCCAGCTTAACGACTTCCTGCTCTTTGCGCATAAGCTTGACGATTGGCAGGTTGAGAAGTGCGGCTGTGTCTGGTCGGTTGTCGGGCGTTGTGTTCAGGCAGCTTGCAATGACCTTTCGCAGTTCTGCCGAGTAGCAGGCCGGTATGTCGGGGTATCGGCCCAGCTTGATCTTCGAGATGAGCTCGAAGTGTGTTTTGGCATTGAAGGGTGGTGACTTTGTGCACATCTCGTATATGATGCACCCGAGTGCCCAGATATCGGAGTGGGGACCATATTGCTCGGCCTTGCAGATCTCAGGCGACATGTAAAACGGCGTGCCGACGTAGGTGGAGGCGAAGTCGTGGGACTGGAGGATCTTGGACAGACCGAAGTCGCCCAGCTTGACGCTGTTGTCATCGCCAAGGAAGACTGTGAGTTGTTAGCGCAGAGTCACGCGACGTGGAGATGACCAGATACTGACTGTTCTCGGGCTTGAGGTCTCTGTGGAGGATCATGGGCTTGCGTGGGTCACGGGCAGGCTTCGCGTTGCCAACGAGTCCCATGACGTTGCGGCCTGCCGCAGGTGGGTCTTCACCGTAGTGGCAGCGGTACAGAGCGCTGACGATTTGGCTGAAGATGCTCCAGACGAACTCCTCCTCGCACACCTGGTTCTTGTTCTTGAGGTCGCGGATGACACGTCCGAGGTCGCCGTTGCCGCAGTACTCCATGTAGAGGTGGAGGTCCTGCGATGTCTTGATGTGGTCGCGCTCGAAGTAGGCGACGATGTTGGGGTGGCGGAGTTCCTTGAGAATCGACAGCTCGGCCTGGAGCTGCTCGCGTTCCTTCTGCGACATCTTGAGATAGCTGATTTCCTTGCGGCACAGGATCTAGGCGGCGGTTAGCACGTCGTGCGCGCAGGCTTCGTCGTCGCTGCTTACATAGCCATCTGACTTCCGCTTGACTTTGCGGATGATACCAAAGGACCCATGGCCTATACAACGTCAGTATGCGTCCTCTTGCGCCTATCGGGGGCGGTCCGTACCAATCTTCTCGAGCACATCGTACTTTTCTTCCTCGGGCATGGTGAAGGTATTGCTATTGCTCAAAAGACATGCAACTATTAAGGGTAGGATAGGGTAGCAAGCTGCTGGGTTAGTAGAGCTCGGAGGTAGCGAGGGATGTATGTAATGTACAGTGGGTGGGATGGAAGCCAAGTTTCCTTGGTGTTTGGCCCTGTTTACGCTAACGGCCGTCAACCCAGCAACGCTGCACGCGCCTCACGTGTTGCAGTTGCCAGGCGCACGCACCCCTGTCACTGCCCTTATCGATAGTCACGCCGATCTCCGCCGCCACTCGTCATCGCAGAGCAATAGTCACTTTCACCTCCACCATGTCGCCGTTACTGAGGACCTCTCCTTCTTGCCACAGCCATGGACGTCAAGAAGAAGCACGAGATCGAGGCCGCCCTCGCGACCGAAGCCCAGGCGATTTCCTCGGGCCAGCTCAAAGAAGAGAATCCGCTGGACACGAGCGAAGATTTCAGGGTCTTCTGTGAAGCATGCCGGCGGGGAGACTTGAAGGTTTGCCAGGAAATGATATCGACCGGGGTAAACATCAACGCAAGAGACAGGTTTGATTACACTCCACTTATCTTAGTAAGACAATCTCCGAGTTCAAATCTAAACAATTCGCCATTCAATTCAGAGCGCTGACCGCTGAAGGCCAGTCTATGCGGTCACTACGAAGTCATACGCCTGCTCCTCGAAAACGGTGCACTCTGCGAACGCGACACGTTCCAAGGCGAGAGATGTCTATACAACGCACTCAACGACCGTATACGTAATCTGTTACTATCCTACGACTATGCGAAATCCTCGAATCCCTTACAACCGCTGGCAGCACATATCACTTCGCTCCTCACGCGACCGTCGCCCAAGACGACAGACATCACGATTACCGCCTTTGGCCAAGAGTTCCACCTCCACAAATTCCTCCTCGCCGCACGATCGCCCTACTTTGCGAAGAAGCTCGAGACTGCGCCGAATACAACGTCATGGAAACTACCCAATACTATACCCGCCGAATCGCTAGGTGTGGCGTTGCAGTATTTGTACTTCCAGGAAGTCTCAATACGGAGAGCGTTACATGGGTTGAGTGACGAGCAGGAGCTGGTTGTGTTGAAAGGCATAGACAAGATTGGCAAGCAGTTGGAGATTGAACGCCTGTTTGAAGATATAACAGAAGTCTCGGATCGAAGACTATTGCGCCAGCGAAGAGCAGAGGAATTGGAACGCGGTAGGGATCAGTTAGAGGGCTGGTTCAAGAACAACGTCCTCCGGCACAAAAGAGTCGTAGACACTGCAAAAGTGGACAGCATACAATGGGACCGGGAAAACTCTATCTTCGCCGATATATTACTGCGCGCCGATGATGATGACGAGGACCAAGACTCCGATGGCACAGATCGGTCACCAGGGCCGTCAGAGTCATCTACGCCGCCTGTGCGAAACGCACCGGGGCCTCTTCTAGGCATACCAGTCGGATCGGGTCGCACTCGTTCGAGGTCACCGTCCCGCCAACGAGCATCCCGTAAATCGACCGTTTTCCCTGCGCACCGAGCCATGCTATTGCGCTCCGAGTACTTCTTGACCATGTTCAGCTCGCAGTTCAAGGAAGCACAAGATACGCCGCACTTGCAGATTGTAACCATTGACTGCTCGCCAGCCGTCCTGGAAACCATACTCACCTTTATGTACACCGAGCGCGCCGACTTCGGACTCGATATTGCCATCGACGTGCTCTTCGCTGCAGATCAGCTCTTCATCGAGAAGCTCAAGCAGCGCGCCGCCATCATCATCTCTGCGCTAGGCAATGGCGCAACCTCAGCAGTCGAGTCAGACAACCCACGGGGAGCTACAGATGCCGATGAGGCCGTGGATATTTACGAAGTTATTCGAGCCGGGTGGGATACAAGGGTGCAACGCCTCGAAGAATTTGCTGCGCGATACATCGCCTATCGACTGGAACACTACATCGACCAACCTGAGTTTGCAGAGCTGGTGCAAGAATCTGCGAATCGCGTCAAGGCACGTCAGGAGACTGACACTGTCGAACTTGTCGACGATATTCGCTACTACCTCTCGGAACGATTCAGGCTTCGCTTCGAAGACAGCGGGCTGGATGAGATGATGGACGAAAACGCAGCCATGCAAGCTAGTACCGAGGGAG